AACAACCTAACGAGAAGCTCCGAGACCGCAGGCAACAGAAGCTATGGCTTCGCCCTGGGCCTGGGCCTGACACACCAACTGACGAGCACACGTGCATGCACATGCTTGATTGAAGGAGACGACGAGGAGGGGAGGGAACGGAGGCTCACCGGGAGGGGCGCGGCGGCGGCGGCGGCGGCGGTGGCGAAGTCCGCGCCCTCGTCGTCGTCGGTGATGAGCAGCGATATCCGCTTGCTGAGCTCGGCGAAGAACACGTCGTCCTCCAGCATCGTCTCCACCTCCATCTTGGTGTCTTCTTCCTTCCTGACGCTAGCTGCTCAGGCTCCTAAGCTGCTGGGCTAGTGTGCTGTGCAGAGGTGGCGGCGAGCTCGGAGAGCTGCGGCGGCAATGGAGGAGGCTGGGCAGAGAGGAGAGAGCAGAGGCTCCGCTTTACGTTATGTCGCGGCGGCTGGCTTCTGGCTGGCGCTGCGCTCGGACGAAGGGGCCGGGGGCTTCAATAGCGAGGCCCTTTTCTGGTGTCATCAGTTTGAGGGCTGGGGTGGGACCCGGCAGAACAGCTGGCCCAATCCCTGCCCAGAAAGGTCGCGGGCCCCACGAATTGGGGGTGGGGAGGGGGCGGCGCGGTCCCTGCACATGTACGCAATCCGCTCCCGTTCTCGCCACGGGACGGGACGAGACCGCGAGGCCCCACCTGTCAGATAATATCTTTTGTGTTCCCTGTGTTGTTGAGAAGTGAAGCGAGAGTTGAGTTGTGCCCAGAGAGCTTCTCGCAGTTCCGGTTGCTAGTTGCTACGACTATATGCGGCCCGACATGGCTGATAGTAGGCCAGTTGCTCGGATCAGACGAGTTTGAACCGCAACCGCTCGTTGTCCGTCGTCTGATCCTTGGCCGCCGGAGGGCATTATGCTATATGCATCATGCGTGAGCATGACCGGAATAGGGATAGCATGATGAACCATTTCAATTAGTACTAGTAGTAGCAAGTAGCAACCTTCGCTGGGAAGCAAACCATATGCGCGCCGGCGCGTACACACTACACCGGCATGAGTGCATGGCATTATCGAACGACTCGCAATGGATGATGTCCTCTCCAAGGGGGAGAGAGAGAGGGACGGTGGGTGGGTGGCCTGGGTCCGGCATTATCCCCTGCCGAGCTCGAGCAGATCAGGCGAAAAAAAAGCGGATGAGGCTGCTCCGGCGCGGAGTCGGCCACCGAAGCGAACCCAGGCAGAGGCAGCCGCAGCCAGCTGTCGTGGAACCCGCGATCGCGGGCCCGGGATCTCCGCTGCCCACATGGCCCGATGGGCGATGGCCGCCAGCGCCAGGGTGGCCGCACGGAGGCGTCCGGATCGGGCACCGCCTGCCGCTCGCGGTCCTTGCTCCTCTGCCTGGGAGGACGTGGGACCCTCCGTCCGCTCCCTTGTTCGTTGCTCTGTTCCTCTCGGCATCAGACATCAGCGGCATGTTCTCGTAGGCCAACCCGCGCACTGACACAATCAACTGTTGCGAAACAAAAAGGCGCCGTGTCACCCTCAGTCAGTAAGCAAGTACTGGTGGTACTAAGCGGGCTCGATCGATGCACTCCGTCCTAAATGGCTACTACACGGAATGGAATCACCAGAGGACCCGAGGCACACGACGAATCTTAGGCCAGAATCGCTGGAAATTCACCGGGCACCTGTCGTTTGCCACAGTGGTTGCCATCACCGCGCTCGGATCGGCTTGGCTTGGTTTGGTTGCTCCTATCCGTAACGGGATGGATTCCGATACGCGGATGAGTAAAACTGGAGCGAGCCGGGGGCAGGCACAGGCAGAGGCGCCGCGCGCTCCACGTCGACCTGCTGGGGAGGTCAGCATCCGATGTGGAGCTGGGGGCGCCCGTAGCAGCGCAGGCCCACCCGCTTCACCAGCCACAGCCAGTGACCACTTCGACCAGCGAGAGCGGCCGGTTGTGTGGCTGCCGTTCGTGCGTGCGCGCGCGCTCGCTGGTTGGACGGACAGCCGACGCGCCGGGGGCCGCTCGTTGTGTACGGCAGCCGCTGCGGCGGGCGGGTGCCGACGAGGTACAAGTAGCAGGAATGCAGGATGGCTGCGCGGCTAGCTACTTGACCGTGACCGGCGACATCAGAGCGGTAACATGCGTTCCGCTCCGCGTACGGATCGCCGGTGTCGTCTACTAACAAGAAGAGCTGTCAGTGACGGGGTGACAGGTGCGTGCTGCCGAGTGACGAGCGCACGTCCGTGCTGCGCCCCATCCGCTGCTGGATGCTGCTCCAGCTATCCGGTGCGGTTCGTGGTGTCCCTCAGCGTTTCGTCGGTCGCCACATCGTCCGTCCGGTCGGCAGCGCAGAATTTTGAAGGAATGTGCAATTTTTTTTGTGTGCCAACGGAGAGTTCAGAGTTTCCTGAAAATGACGTGTTTTTTTGTTGCGCACTGCGGATGTCGTATTTCCCGTACCAAAGCTATGGATGCAGGATGATAATACTCTTTCTTGGGCCCTGTTTGCTTATCTAGAAAATGCTTCCCAGATAAACTGCACAGATAGAGTAAAAGCGCGATCAAAATAAACTAGTTTGATCCACTTTGTACTTTTTAGTATAAATAAGAGTAGTGGGAATAAATGCGTGTGGAATAAGTTGCAAAAAACATGTCATTTGGTTGTTCATTTCAGCTTATTTTTTTTTACCATAAACAGCTTATAAACTATACCAAACAGAAGCATGAGAAGATGTCTTTTCATTTTTATAAATTCTAATAGTCTGTGTCAACAATCTAAATACATTCCAAATCGCTCTCTTAAAACCGAAGTACGAGGAGATGTCTTTTCGTTTTGTACTTTCTAATAATAATACATGCCTACAGTTTAAATACTTATTCCAAGGTTGAATTATGTTTGGCCGTGTGTAGGCTACCGTGTCTTTTGAATCTGCGATTTTTTTTTTGAAACAAGTTCCTTTATACGTGTTTCCCAAAGGGACACAAGTAGGGTCGGTACAAGCTGACCCACCATTGTAACCTTTTTGGTTTTCAATACTTGCTCCATCCCCAAAAAAGAATATAATTATAAGATCATGTTCAAATTTGACCAAATTTATAATAAATAGTACTAAAATTTATGCTCTAAATAAGTTTATTATAAAAATACATTTCACAATTAATCTAAGGTACTTATTTTGTATCATAAAGATTAGTATTTTTTGTATAGTTTTAGTCAAAGTTTAAATCATTTGATTTATAAAAAATGAGAATTGCATATATTTATTTTTTTTACGGAGGGAGCACATTCAAACAATCTGGTTATCTCATAACACTGTACAAGCGGCTTATAAAGATGGACGGTGCTATTCAAATGGTACATACAGCGACGAATTTAGAGATCCCTTATTTCTCGAAGACACAGTCGATACGGTAACACGTCAGCATGATGAAGCTGCCTCCCACGCACCATACCAGCTCAGTATTCAAACAAGTCCAGCAAATGGAAAAGCAGAAACAAACGAAGCTAGGAATAAAGATGTTGGGACGATTGAGTTATAATCATGCAATTTCGGTGTTTTAGTATGATGAAAAAGAACATTAATTATGCCAAAACTTTGGTGGCACTGAACTAGTTATATGCTTTGATCGGGATTTATTTCAGATGCTCATCACACACACACACACACACACACACACACACACACAAATCAACATCAGTTGTACTTTACAAAGAGATAAGCATAAACTTTACGGCAAAGTAATATGATCCACGGTAAATATGTATGGCACATTAAATGATAACTCCAAGTGGATCTGGCATGTTCTTTATCTTCAAAAAGCTTATTATACCACAAGAATCTGGGCTATGGGAGCAGACCACCAGTTTCATTCATATTTTTTTAGTACGTATCAGGGGTGGGTGGGGCTACTTACTGCACACAAAACATCAACTACTGTAGTTGTCTAGATGGCACATAGCCTATCAACTATCAAGTTCATTACAAAAATTGTGTACAGATGCAACAGGTCGATGGAAGGATCAAAGGATATTTAAGCTGGGTTCAGGAGCAGTGGAGCACTAGTGAACTTTACACACCTTTCAGCGCAGCAGATGACCTAAACACAATAGCGATGCTGTTGTTCAATTTTACCTGAAACACAGCATACCACTTTAACTCCAGATTCCAGATAGATGGTCAACCACATGTCAATTGAGTTGTACCCTGGTTGATATATAAGCAGTACACAAAATGTTACAGTAATAAATGTAGAAAAACACGCTTTGTTATGCTCACAAAACTATCATGCAACTACTAGGATTTACTACCAGATACATTGGACAGAAACATCACCGAGATACTTCCCTGAAAACGAAAGAAATTGCAACATCACAAAAAGACGTACCCAGTGCAGAGAGCTCCCGCTCTGTGCGGGGTCTAGGGAAGGGTGTCAGTGGCAAGCCTTACCCATGCCTGTGCGACCGCGACTCGAACCCGGGGCCTTCCGGTCACAGGCGGTAAGACTCTACCGCTTACACCAGGCCCGCCCTTCAAATTGCAACATCACAGTACAAGTAAAATGTGAAGGACAACAACAGGCATGGAACATGGAAAGGCAAGTCTATGTCAAGCAAAGCATAAAGATGACAATTGACCAGGGGAAAAAAACGTGTAAAATTAGCTTTGTCAAGGCACAAAACTATGACAAGGTAGTTTTTAGATGCAGTGTTCTAAATATTCCCTCCGTCCCAAAAAGAGTGTCGTTTTTGCTATGAATCTTGACAGATGTTTGTCCATATTCATAGCAAAAACAATACTCTTTTGGGACAGAGGGAGTACTATAACAAGAAAAACCAAGCGATCAAATGCCAAATGAAGGTCTTCACAGTTCATTTCTAGACCACGTCATCACAAGTTCACAACCATCAACAGAACTATACACTTCAAGATCGATGTTGTTACAGGATTATGGACAATTACATAACATAGTGCAGCAGCAATAATACCAGCAAACTCTCCATTATGGCTCAGCACTTCTAACTTTGATCTCCATTAGTTTTTCAACAGGCTGTCTGCATATTGGGCATTTATTTGATTGAAATCGTAGAGTTTTTGCACATTCACTGCATAAACACTGGATAAGAAAGGAACAATCAGACAAAACCTAAGGTAACAAAAGCTAGATCTAGAAGATAAAAGGCACATACAGCAAATCATGTACTTACCAAATGTCTACAAGGCATAACAGCAGTGTCTCTTGGTTCTGTCAAGCAGATAACACATTCCTTCCCCGTGTCATCAGCATCAGCATCGGCAACATCTGATTCAGTGGAGTTGACCATACCAAAAATTTCCTGTAGCTCATACTTCACGCCATCAATCCACAAGATTTGCTTCACAACTTTGACTTGAAGGTCGTTGTTATGCTTCTCCAAAACAGCAAGAGTAATCTGTGCACGAGTGGAGTTTACTGACGGGCCACCTTCCTCTGGAGATGGATATGCTTCTGCATAAACAACAAGTGGGAACACTTCCCCTGACGAACTCGAAAGCTCATCCAGAGAAAAGAATCCCAAGTCAACACCAGATCCAGAGGGCTGGATAAACCTTTGGGCCAACCCTTTCTCGAAGGGTATCTTTGTTGGCATCTGTAATTCTGGGTACATTGAAGAAAAACTACAGTCCTTTCCTTCCTTGGCAAAGTAATATATAGTCACACTGCAAAAGATATGGACAAGTTCAAGTGTCAACTGATGTTAAATGGTAACTAAACACTCATATTAATAGGAGAGCAATGTCTAGGATGACTAGGCAGCTACTACTCTAGACAGCTGCAAACCGCCAAGTTTAGGGGGGGGGGGCGGGGTTTGCTGCGCTAGACAGTCAAAGAAAGTCCTCGACAACCTAAAAGAAAATGACAACTACATCGTTTTGGATGGCAACTAGCATGACTAGGCAGGCATACTGGCAATGGAGATTGAAGTTGCTTCCTCAAAAAGAAAATGGAGACCAGCGTTGCATGCATGGCAAAATTTTCAGCTGCTGCTAGGCTTTAAGCACAACTGGTTGAGCTAATTAGGACTACAAAAAGTAAACGTAAACAATTTTACGCAGTACCTGACGTCTGCAACTTCGTGCTCAGCAGTTATAGCATCTACTATCTAGGTAAGTAGGTGGACATTGCTGAGCACTTGAGCCCTTGATCCCTTGGAACTTTCTAGTAAAATGCCATTTTTTTTTAAGAATAACAAAAGGTTCCATCCATGCTGCACTAGTTTGAAAGGGAAATGATGTGTGATTTCTCTAAAGAAACATTTGTCAGTAGTCTCCTAAACAATTGCTAGGAGCTGGTAGCCAACCAGCTACATGTCCAATCCCAAATTTGATTTTTCTATCAAAATTTCAACAATCTAACTAAAAAACCTGCCTAGCAGTAACAACAGGATTTTGAGCACTGGTTGCAGTAATAATATAAACAAAATGTTGTGGTTACTGTGGTTGAACATGAAGTTGTGTGATCTGTAGTTCAGATTGCAAAGAATTTTAAGCTAGGAATAACAAACATATGATAAACCTGAGGAAAAAAAGAAAAGAAAAGAAAATTTAAACTATTCTTGTTCTTCCCATATAGCATTCTGGGTAAGCCATTAAACTTCTGAGAGTACTGCTCTAGTCACACTTAACTATTCATCTGCTTCTTTTTCTCTCAGTAATTTATTATGGAAGTGGAAAACAATTACTGATCTACGAGCTTGAAGCATTATACAAAACAATAAGTCAGCAATTGTAATGAACCACCTAGAATTTGCTAAATGAAAGCATATCCCTCTTCACGTAGCTCCACTGTTGGTATTCTATTTCCAAGCTGCTGGATCGCCAATCTTACTACTGGACTTTCTAAGAAAGGTAGGTGATGAGCTTTGGTCTAAAAACAGTAACTGGCTAAGTTCAATTAATCATTAGCCACCTACATGAAGCAAGTTATAAATCTCAAATTCCAGTAAGCAGTAGCCACATAATCCAGGTCGATCAAATATAAATCAAACACTACCGTTACCATTACATTACAGTGTTTTAAAGACACATAGCAACACCAGCACAACCCGACCTCACCTGCCGTCGGTTATCGCGTCGAAAGTGAAGGCGACGAGGCGGCGCTCGGGGTCAGCGTCGTCGGGCACGAGCCTGATGGTGTCCTTGTGCAGATTGACGTAGTTCTTCACCTTCTGCGCCTGCTGGTGCTCCACGAACTCGGGCGGAGGCCCCGTCAGCGCGGGCGGCTGCGGCTGCGGCGGCGCGGGCGCGGGGTGCCACGGGCCGTGGTACGCGTGCGGGGGCGGCGGGTGCGGGTGGTAGTAGTACGAGGAGGGCGGCGGCGGAGGGGGAGGACGGTGGTGCGGCGGTGGAGGGGGAGGCGGCGGGTGTTGGTGGCGGTGGTGGTGGTGCGGCGGCGGCGGCGGGTAGGAGGAGTAGTGGTGCGGCGGCGGGTAGTAGTCGTCCCGGCGGCGGCGGCTGGAGGACGCGCCCATGGAGCCCCGCGCGGCGCCGAGTAGTCGCCGAGCACGCGAGGAGGGAAAGCAAAGCGGGGCCCGGAGATTCGACTGACGCTTGCGCCGGGGGAGGGGGTTTACTTTAGGCGCGTCGTGGGGGCAGGCAGGCCGCAGGCGGAGCGCCGAGCGCGTCGTCGCGAGCGGGGGCGTGCGGGCGGTGGAGTCGTCTGACGCGACGGGCGAGCGGAAGGGGGAGGGAGGACGGGCAGGGCGCGGATTGACTTTCACGGCTGCTCTGCGGTGTTTCCGGGTGCGTTTCCCACAAGGTTGCGCGTTGGCTGTTGCCTGACGGTGGCCGCGACGACTGCGGAGGGGGTGAGCCAAAGCGGCTGCTCCGCTCGGCGCGCGGCCACGGCAACGACGGCGTTGTTGCGTCGTCGATGGCGAGGGCAGGAGGGTGATTGGAAGCTGGAACCGTCGACGGGTGCGTGCTGTGGGCGACGCACACGTACGATTTTGGCGAGGAAAGTGTAACGACGGGGCTGACACAACGTTGTAGTAGTCCACGACCTGAAAATGTTGTAACAGCAACTAGGACAGTCGTTCGTTCGACACGGTTTGCCTTCAATGTTCAGGCCACCGAACCCCAACTAGCCAGGGCGATACTGGTATACGATGTTCGATCTGCAATGTGAACCACTTGTAGCGTTAAACACTTAGACGAAGACGACATGAATGTGCTTCCTCGACTGTTAAGCCGTATACCATTGACTAAACACCCGCATAAAAAAGAAGCAATTTCCATCCGATCAAAGCTGTGCACGAAGGTGAGATTTTGTTCATTCACAGGCACAACAAAAATGAACTTCAATGTAGAGATCTTTGTCGAGACCGACTCATCCCCACTCTTAACATTCAACTACAGCCCGTCCAACAATGTGTTCACGCCCAAACAACCAAAAAAAAAAAGGACCTATCCAAGAGGTCCTTCCTTTCAGAGCATTTGAACGGTGGAGAATTACAGATCCCAACAGATTAGGATATCGAAGATTTTCGATCACTTGCAATAACTTCCCGATGGTGAACAAATACACAAAAGCGAAGCACCCAACGTAAACCATGTTCCTTGCTTTGCTGGACATGTTTGTTGTTTCCTCAGTTCACTCTGTCAATAAAGTCCGATGTAAAGCCATGTTGCTTCCATCTTTGAATCTAACAGAAGTATGTGTAGTAAGCTTCTCATCATAGCGTGATATACCGCCAACTGCCAAGTGTCAGGGCCAATCGACCTTGCAACACCACGAGCTGTAACCCCATAAAAATTTCCAATTCATGCTCTTTATAAAAGACCAAAGTGGAAACTATGTTTATCTCAAATATTGATAAACCTTGGCAGAAAAGTTAAAGTACCTAGTGGATGGTGCCATCATCACCAACATATCCGCTTAGGCGCTTACATGCTCTTAAGCACCATATCTCCTCAGAACTTTGCTTAGTGCTGGCATCACATTGTACGCCTGATATGATCTTCTAAGCTCAATAATTGAGCCCACCTGAAATCATTATTTTTCATATAATTCAGTACTATACTAAATACATGTAAAACTTGCGGATAATTATCAAATCCAAACTTAGTCTTAAATGTCTAAGTGAATAGATTCCAGTTTTTTAGTGCTAATGCAACTTCACATTATGAAACAAAAAATATGGAAAACCATGTATTTCAAATTCTTCTGTAAAGGCATTAGAATTGAAGCCACATGGTCATGTATGGATCATTCAGAATTTTAGAATCTGTTTCCATTGCCAAGATGGCAAGATCTGATCCAGGACCACCGCAGAAGCCAACATAGACAAAAAGGCTGCTGAAGACAGCATAATAGCTGCAGTTCAACAACTAATTTTCACGGTAATAAGGTACATTAAGAGTGTGCCTGAGATGTACTCACAATAATCAAGACTGATGTGAACCCTATTGAAAACCCTTCATTTATTTGCCTGAGATATCGGTCAAGCAATAAAGAGGAAGTTGCAAGCAAGCTTAGCAGTAGACCTCCTGGAATATAAGAGATTATTTTTTTTTCTTAGAGAAAAAGACACAAAGTGCAGAAGAACGATAAATCATAACAAAATTTGACAATGTGGTAAACTTTCTTCAAGAACACCTACCCCAGAAACGCGTTGATGTTTGTATCTTTGTAAGGTAGTCTACTGTTGCTCTTCCAGGCTTTATCCTTGGTACCCTTGCACTCATCTTATTCAGGTAATCAGATATCTCTTTGGGTAAGTTAGCCTGGAACAAAAGTTTCGCAGATAAAATATGTGCAAATAAGCATGCATCCCAATAAATTGACTCAGTGGATGAAAATATTAAGAACTTGAGTGCTATGACACTATAGGACTGAGATCATTATAATTTATGCCATGTGCATTGTCCTGCAGTGTTCCATATATGCCAGTTATACTTGGTTCCACAATTACACTAGTCATACAGATAACAGGCAACCATAAGAGATTAAAAAACCTTAATCACAAGATAATATAATGTACAGTTTTTTTATCTGAGAAAGAAAGTATCTTAAAATTAAACACGTATGCTAAATCTTTGTGAACAGGTGGCATTTCCTTAAATATGCTGATATTGCTTATGGAGAACTAGGGAAAATATATCTGGAAGGATACAACAACAACAACAAAGCCTTTAAGTCCCAAACAAGTTGGGGTAGGCTAGAGTTGAAACCCAGCAGAAGCAATCAAGGTTCAGGCACGTGAATAGTTGTCTTCCAAGCACTCCTATCTAAGGCTAAGCCTTTGGGTATATTCCATCCTTTCAAGTCTCCTTTTATTACCTCTACCCAAGTCAACTTCGGTCTTCACTGCCTCTCTTTACGTTACTATCCTAGCTTAGGATTCCACTACGCACCGTTGCCTCTGGAGGTCTCCGTTGGACATGTCCAAACCATCTCAACCGGTGTTGGACAAGTTTTTCTTCAATTGGTGCTACCCCTAATCTATTACGTATATCATCGTTCCGAACTCAATCCCTTCTCGTATGACTGCAAATCCAACGCAACATACGCATTTCCGCGACACTTATCTGTTGAATATGTCGTCTTTTCGTAGGCCAACATTCTGCACTATACAACATAGCAGGCCTAATCGACGTCCTATAAAACTTGTCTTTTAGCTTCTGTAGTACCCTTTTGTCACATAGGACACCAGATGCTTGGCGCCACTTCATCCACCCTGCTTTGATTCTATGGCTAACATCTTCATCAATATCCCCGTCTCTCTGTAGCAATGATCCTAAATATCGAAATGTATACTTTCTAGGCACTACTTGACCTTCCAAACTAATATCTTCTCCTCCCGAGTAGTAGTGCCGAAGTCACATCTCATATACTCAGTTTTAGTTCTACTGAGTCTAAAACCTTTAGACTCCAAAGTCTCCCGCCATAACTCCAGTTTCTGATTCACTCATGTCCGGCTTTCATCAACTAGCACTACATCGTCCGCGAAAAACATACACCAAGGGATGTCTCCTTGTATGTCCCTTGTGACCTCATCCATCACTAAGGCAAACAGATAAGGGCTCAATGCTAACCCTTAATGTAGTCCTATCCTATTTGGAAAGTCATCCATGTCTCCATCACTTATTCGAACACTAGTCACAACATCAATACATGTCCTTAATGAGCCCGACGTACTTCGTTGGGACTTTATGCTTGTCCAAAGCCCACCACATAGCATTCCTACCACAAAACATTCCTTGGTATTTTATCATAAGCCTTCTCCAAGTCAATAAAAACCATGTGTAGGTCCTTCTTCTTCTCCCTATACCGCTCCATAACTTGTCTTATTAAGAAAATGGTTTCCATGGTTGACCTTTCGGGCATGAAACCAAATTGGTTCATAGAGACCCGCGTTATTGCTCTCAAACGATGCTCAATAACTCTCTCCCATAGCTTCATAGTATGGCTCATCAACTTAATTCCCCGGTAATTAATACAACTTTGAATATCCCCTTTATTCTTGTAGATCGGTACCAATATACTTCGCCTCCACTCGTCAGGCATCTTGTTCGATCGAAAAATATGGTTAAACAGGTTGGTTAGCCATACTATAGCTATGTCCCCGATGCATCTCCACACTTCGATTGGGATACCATCCGGTCCCATCGCCTTACCTCCTTTCATCCTTTTCAATGCCTCTCTGACCTCAGATTCTTGGATTCTCCGCACAAAGCGCCTATTGGTGTCATCAAAAGAGTCATCCAACTGAAATGTTGTGTCCGTATTCTCACCATTGAACAATTTATCAAAATACTCTTGCCATCGATGTCGGATCTCATCCTCCTTCACCAAGAGATGCTCACTTTCATCCTTAATGCACTTAACTTGGTTGAAGTCCCTTGTCTTTCTCTCACGAACCCTAGCCATCCTATAAATGTCCTTCTTCCTTCGTACTCAAATGTTGATAAATGTCCTCGTACGCTCTACCCTTTGCCACACTTACAGCTCGCTTTGCAGTCTTCTTTGCCACCTTGTACTTCTCTATGTTGTCCACACTCCTGTCATGGTACAAGCGTCTATAACATTCTTTCTTCTCCTTAATAGCCCTTTGGACTTTCTCGTTCCACCACCAAGTATCTTTAGCCTCGCCTTCACTTCCTTTGGTTACTCCACACACCTCTGAGGCGACCTTCCGAATGTTGGTTGCCATCTCCTCCCACATGTTGTTTATATCCTCTTCTTCCTTCCAAGAACCCTCTTTGATAACCCTTTCCCTGAATATCTCTGACGTCTCTCCTTTCAGTTTTCACCACTTTGTTCTTTCAATCTTAACTTGTTTATCCCTACGGGCACGCACCTGAAAACAAAAGTCTGCCACCAAAAGCTTATGTTGAGAAACAACACACTCCCCTGGTATCACTTTGCAACCCAAGCATGCTCGTTTGTCCTTTCTTCTTGCGAGGACAAAGTCAATCTGGCTAGAGTGTTGTCCGCTACTGAAGGTCACTAGATGAGATTCTCTCTTTCTAAAGAAAGTGTTGGCTATCATCAGGTCAAAAGCTACCGCGAAGTCAAGAACTTCCTCCCCCTCCTGATTCCTACTACCATACCCAAAACCTCCATGAACTGCCTCGAAACCTACGCTTATAGTACCTACATGTCCATTAAGATCTCCTCCTATAAAAAGGTTCTCACTACTAGGTACAGCTCTAATCAGGCCATCTAAGTCTTCCCAGAACTGTCTCTTAGCACTCTCGTCGAGGCCTACTTGGAGGGCATACGCACTAATTACGTTCAAGACCATATCACCAATGACAAGCTTGACTAAGATAATCCTATCTCCTTGCCTTCTCACTCCCACCACACTATTCTTGAGGCTCTTATCAATCAAAACTCCTACTCCATTTCTATTCGCGACTGTCCCTGTGTACCAAAGCTTGAAACATGTATTGTCCACCTCCTTCGTATTGTGACCCTTCCATTTAGTCTCTTGAACGCATAATATATTTACACGCCTCCTATTCGTGGTATCAACTAATTCTCTTAACTTACCTGTAAGCGACCCTACATTCCAACTAACTAAACGGATCCTAGTTGATTCGACTAGCTTCCTTACCCTTCGCATCCGTCGACTCAGATGTGAAGACCCTTGCTCATTTTTCACTACACCCGGGCGCCGATGTAGCGCGCCACTAAGGATGCGACGACCCGATCCTTGCTCACTTGACATTGTGCCCAGATCGCGACATGGCGCGTCACCAAGGGGGTGCCGACCCGACCCTTGCTCATTTAACACCATACCCGGGTTTCGATATGGCGCGTCGCTAAGAGGGTTACGCCCCAGCGATTTTCTTTCGGGTTTCATCTCCATTAGAATGGCTAGATTTAACGTTGGCTCGCCACGTCTATCACAACCCTTCTCCTTTACCAGGGCTTGGGACCTGCTATGTTGAGACAACATAGGCGGTAGACCATCAATGGAACTGAGGGAATATTCAAATCTCAAGCAACAGTAACATAAGAATAAGGATTTGCTGTCCCATGCTATTGAAACATGAGATTAGCAAAATCAGGTAGATAGATAAGATGTAAAATTTGTAAACCACTGGTGAAGAGGATATTAGAAGCAAGAAGTAATTTTGCAGACATTAGAAGTTTTTAAGTATACATGGTTATTAAGATGAGACACGAACTTACAATATCAAAAATATTGAAGACGAAGACGAGAAAAGCATATGTCGAGTAATAAACCCAGGGACTACCACCAGTTGAAGTCTTTGGGTTCAAAATTTCCCTCAAGTTTTCCCAAAAGGGTGAGGCAAAAATACTGCAGATATTCCACATTACAATGTTAGGGGAAGTGAAAAGACAGAAATGAAACACATCATGGTTTACCTGGCCATGATGCTTGGAAAAGCTAGCAAGTATGAGGTTGTAAACAAGGGCTGCATTCCAGTCGGATTGATGTTGAAGGGGATATACGGCTCAACCTCTGTAACTGGGGTTTCATTCCTACAAAAGAAGGGTGAAATGGCTCAACTCCTCAAGTATTTAATTTTATCTGAAAAAAAATGAAGTACAAAGAATAAGAAACCGTTTAACATTAAACTATTTATAACTAGTGAAATACTAATATGTTCTACTGTTACCTGAAGGTCATTTGCACATTAAAAGAAAGGCGAAACAGTAAAGTGTAAAACTATTTATACGGATAACATATATAAAAATAAATCACAAAAAAAAAAGAATTCTACCCTGCACCAGAAGCTAATTTAAATCCATAGTACTGAAGTTTTATCTTCCTGAATCCTTCAGTCACCAGCACAGCACCCATGGTGAGCATCATAAAAATTCCAGCTACTCCCAAGATGTAAGGCCAACAATAGGAAAAATTCCCTGTTTCAAAGAAAATAACAGAACTAAAACTCCCAACGTGCAGATAAAGAGGGTACAGGCCAAAGCTGAAGGTATAGCAGCGTGGTTTCAGGATAATTTCTTGAAAACATGTTCCAGAACACTTAGAGAAAAAAACAAGGCAAAACAAATGAACACCAAACGAAGTCATATTAAAAAAGGCATTACAGAAAGTTGACAACCTCAAGTTCAGAGAGCTAACCTGAAAACTGAGTTATCATCTTGTGTAGTGTATCTGTGTAGCCAGTCAAAATTCCCACACAGATAATCAAAGATGAGCCATGTCCTGCAAATAAAAATATAGAAGACACAATGAACATGAAAGTACTAGCCAAGTAGAACAAGATAGACACATTGATAATAACATTATCATCTGTTTTCATGTTGAACTCATCAATCAAGCCAATGAAACTCCTAACTCAGATACATGCTTTGTTTTTTCTTAAGAGCCCAGTACCAACAGATCAAGTAATTGGAACAAAAAGACCAGCCACCAAAAAGAACAGGCAGTTATTTATTTTAGCCTTTCAGGAATGAGAAACTCTCCATGCATTAAAACATCCATGAGCCCTTCCACAATATAGATCAGCAAACAAAGTTGCTCAGGAATGAGAAACTCTCCATGCATTAAAACATCCATGAGCCCTTCCACAATATAGATCAGCAAACAAAGTTGCTCAACACCCCCCCTACCCCCCCAAAAAAAGAGAAGATATTTCTCAATATTTCAGTTTATTTGGTATCGAGACAAATATAGCATATCAAGTTTCTTCCAAACAATTAATTATGCCCAGCATAAGACACAAGACTTTCGGAGCATGGACAGGTTATAATAAATTACAAATATGCATGAGGTAAAGTATTACCAAATCCAGATTCTGTTATGGTGTCACAAATCCATGTCATTGACATTGCACCAAGAACAAGCAAAAGACTTGTTATAACTATATGCTTAACCCTGTAACAAAAGAATAAAAATAAATAGAGCTGTAAACATACCAAATGAGTATTCATATTTCCTACTGTTCAAACAAATTAGGATCAATAAAAACTTTGGTCCCTCGAATTACTTATTGCCCTTACAGCTGATAATGCATCAGCATGAAAAACAAAGGAACAAAACAGTGAGCTGATGGTGGCGCCTGCCAGCATGTTTGTGGGGAAGGAGTACTTTGAAGAAAATAAATTTGCACCAAAAGGTAGTTTACCTGTAACTTGCAGCATATACTGAATACTGCAGGGAATAGCATGACACAGTAAAAGCAGCCACAGTTGCAAAACACAAAGAAAGCCACCATCTACACACAAAAGAAAGGATTCAAACTAGATGAAATGGTATGTCAAAATCCAAATAATTTCCAGGGAAAAAAAACAGTCTCACTGTTCAAGATAGATAGACAACTAGACACACATATAGCCTTTTAACTTCTCATGTCCGTCTAATCCTTCCTTGCAGAGCTTTTCAAGTGATGGAAGAACATGACAGAGAACCTAAAACAGATACCTTTTGTTATGTTTTCTTTCCATAAAAAGAGACCAGTTATTGTAACAACAGTATCAAAATAACAAGATGCATTTTTTATGCACAATCAAGTGCCATAAAAAGAGGCTTAAACTTGTGGCATTCCAACTAGGTCCATGAAAGTGAGCATATTGATTGGTAAACTTACAAGAGTAGATCCAAACTGATCTTTATTCTGCGCAATGTAACTTGTGCTTATTAGGCAAAGCGAAAGTGTGAAACATATAGCAACACTTGGGGCCTAAAGTGTTAAGTTCTTGAAAATTGAGCTCATATACCTAAATAGATAAATGTTAAAGGATGCATGGTACAATTTTCTTAAGGATTTACGTGCGAATAATTTCCAAGCCTGAAATAGCAATTTATCAACTCTGAATGTTGTGGGGGAAAAACTTCTCTACCAAAATTCTGGGCTTCTGGCCTATGCTAAGGGAAACATGCACTTTGGCAGAGTACGTGCATGTTTAAGGATTCACTCATCTGTAGAGCCAACAGTGGAAACCAAGGTCATGGAATCGGATATAGTAGTAAGAATAGGGCAAGTACATTGGTACGTTAGCAGTCTCGGAGGTCGTCTCATGCAGTGCCACATAGAACTATTTTGTGATGAGGAGAGAGGGAGGTGAGAGAAAGAGGTCTTTATTTCGTGAAGCAGCTGTCTCATGAGCAAAAATTTAGAACTATGAGACAACTCTTTCACCATTGGACGAGTTGATGTCATGCAACTCACGAACAATGTATGTGATGTCCTTCTTGGGAGTACCGAAAGAGATTCTCAAAAATTTAGATTTTATAGATCTTTTTTTTCACAAGGGGACAACCATAAGAAAATAATAAAGAGTTATAGACTGACAAAATGGGGAGTTTTATGCCTACCAAAGGAACAAGGTGGCTTAGGAATCATAGACCTTGTGACTCAAAATGTTTGCTTGCTAAGAAAGTGACTCTTTATATTAATCAATGAAGATGGGGCTTGGCAACAACTTCTTAGAAAGAAATATTTGAAAAACAAAACTATAGGGGAAACACATTGGAAACCAGGAGATTCGCACTTTTGTTAAGGCCTATGAAATTCAAAGATAGTTTCCTAGACTTATCTTCTTTTAATCTACACAATGGGGCCCTTGTTAGGTTCTGGGAGGACAAGTTGTTTGAAAACTTGACTCTCAAAGAACAACACTATACAATATTGCTAGGAAAAACATATTATAGTTGCTCAGGTTTTTAGTTCTAGACCACTTAATTTTACTTTCCGCAGAGCACTAGTTGGTGACAATCTAGCCAAGTGGAATGAATTGGTCTCAAGAATAGCATTTCTGTAACTTGATTGCTAACAAGATTCAATTAAGTGGGACCTCAACAACCAGGGATATTTCTCAGTTCAATCAATGTACAAATACTTAGTGAACCAACTTGCAATGCCTCTATAAAGCAGTATGGAGGTTGAAGTTACCCGTTAAAATTAAGATCTCCATTTAGTTGTTTCTGAAGGACGTAATTTCAACTAAAGATAACCTTGTAAAGTGCAATTGGAGAGGTGATGAGAGTAGTTGCTTTTGCAACGAAAAAAAGAAACCATTCAGAATATTTTTTTTCAATTGTCACGTAGCACACATTGTTTGGTGCTTTTGGTTTATGCCCACCAAGAAACCCTGTTCGTTTTTTTGTTCCTTGGCTTCAGCAAGTAATCACAACTTGTGCTCTTAAGTTTGTGTGGGAACAAGCACAATCATTTGGTCTATTTGGTTTTGCTCAATGACTTGGTTTTTGACAAAAAAAAATACTATCTTCTTATTTACAGGTTGTTTTTAGGGCTACTCATTGGACACGTTTCTAGCCCATCTTTCAGGAAAAAAAATATGACCGACCAGTGGCCTAGTCATATCCTGGAGACAACAGCAATGGAGATCTTCGCCAAACATGGTGGCGATCTTCAAATAGGCTTACTGCTTAGATTGCTGTCCTTTTTTACATCTTATGAGCTTTTTAAGAGCTTGCTTTTATAAGCCAGATCCTGAATTTGCAATAAATTTTGGTTGATTGCATAACTTATGTAGAGTTCAGAATAAAACTTCTTTTTTTCTAAAAAAAATGCAACTCACAAACTTTCCTTTTTTCATTGCACAAATTAAGAATTAACTAAAACATGTGCAAGAATTTGTCACTTACAAATATAAGCACATCACGGACCAAAGGATAAGAATTACCAAACCTGCATGACAATAGATGCTGAAATTTGATGACTGATCCCCAGCTGGAAAAACGAAAGCTTCAATTCTGAGGAGAAATCGCCTAGGTCATCTGCACAAAGGAAGGTAGAACTACAGGCTATTAGCTTCCCCAAACAAAACCCCGTGCACAACTCGCCAGCGTATAATCCGAGGGAGGAATGGAATAGACCTGCAGGAAGCGGGGAGAAGCTGAGGTAAGAGTCTGGGATGAGGCGACGGTCGAACCCTGGGAGCGGGATGAAGTAGCCCACGCGGCTGAGCACGATGAGCGCGGCAGTGACGGCCAGCCGCCGGCGGATCTCGCTGCGGAAGAAGGCCTCCGCCGCGCCCTCCGCCACCGCCCCCAGCCGCGCCAGGTCCAGGAACCGGTTCCGGTACCCCGTGCCCTTCGGCCCCGCCTCCGTGCCGCCACCTCCCTCTCCGTGCGGCGGGACCACAGCGGACGCCGAAGCCCTGGCGAAGACGGCGAGGCGTCGAGGCGTGCGGAGCGGCCGCTGGAGCGTGCCGTCGAGGAGGAGACCGTAAGCGCAAAGGGGCGGGTGTTTGGGGGCGAGGCGGCGGGGCAGCTGGGTGGGGAGCGCGCGGCGAGAAGGGAACGGGAGTGAGGAGTGCGCCAGCGCGAAAGAGGGGGACATGACGGCGACCGCCTGTCGCGCGGCGGGGGAAGGGGTCGAGGTCCTCGGGGATTCGGGGGGTGCGGATTGGAATCCTACCTCCAGCCGGCCGGCGGCAACGACGGGAACGCTCGGCTCCCTCTAGCGGGTGACTTGCTTGATCGGGAGCGTCGGCTTCGGTTTGCACACTCGAATCGAATCCTCGATTGCACGGTCACGATCATAACCGTGTGTCGCGTTAATTTTCAAAAACTTTTGATTGAACGAATTCTCAGGTGAAAAACTTTGATCCAAGCCACTGAACTTTAGACATATAGGATTCAAACAAGCCTATGCTTATAAGGTTACAAATATCCTTGCATTTTATCATTATAAACCCTTATAATTTACAAAGGTTTATACTTAGGAAATAGACGAATCATTGGAGAGACAGTGATACACGAGCGTTAAACTTAGAAATAGAAAAGGACAAAATTTTGGAAGGACAAATGGCTAAATGGGAGAGCATCAAAAGACCTTGCTTTGAATTGCTTCAAACTTGCTTGTCACAAAAACCAACATGTTGTTGTGGCAATACATGGGGCGATGGATACACAAGCCAATGCTTCGTCCAGTGCAGCGACTGGCATGAATTGTTGTGTCAGGATTTGACACCTATAAAAACAGGGGTGCGGAGTATAGGCTTTTTTATGTTGGTACAGAACCACGACACTGCATGGGTAGGCCATGAGCTCGGTTGAGGTCATGAGTGCATGTTTGCTAAATAAAAGTGTAATTTTATTACCACCTCGTTGCCCCGACTAAGGAACGACTTAAAAAGAATACTACACTATGTCTTCGAATTGCTTATAGTGTCTCAGTACAACTTAAAACATAGGCCGAATATGTTTAAGTTGAGCCCGATCAGACTCTCTATTGATTGACCTAATTGGGCTCCCTGATCTATTTGACCTAAATTTTTATATTTGCATTTTTATTTGATAAATACCTTTTTGAATAATTAATTCTTTGAAATTGATTCTAACACGTATCGGAACAGATGACATGTACCGAAACATTGACGCAATAGTTAAATAAATCTACTCCATAACAAGTTGTATGTTCTAATATACACTTAGATGACCACACAACAAGTTATACGCCTGAAAAAACAAGTTGTATGTCTCGTTGCAACATACAAATTTTTTCTTAAAAATATATCATATGATGAATATTGTGATACTTATCTAGTACTCCCTCCATCCCTTATTAAAATCAATTTCTTTAGTTATCTTGAATTATTTTTTTAATATTTGACCAAACTTACAGAAAAAGCACAAAAAATTGTTACACCAAATAAGCATATTATGATAATATAGTTTATGGCTTATCTAATGCACTAATTTAGTGTCATAGATTTCGACACTCTTTTTTATATAAATCTGGTTACCAAAGCTTGTTTTAAGACAATCGTAGAAATTGATTTTTTTCAGGAATTGAGTTAGTATATACGTAATAAATACTATTTCTTTTCTTATATAAAATTATTTAAATTTAATATTATTTGAGTTAGCAACACTCTAGTACGCCAAATCATTAGTCGGCGTACGTGCGCTCCGACGCATATCAGCGCACGGACGCGTGGCGCATGGAGGATCCACCATATAGGACGCGTGGCACATTGGGGGAGCGAGGACCGCACATGGATGGTGGACGCGGGGAGGGGAGCCGGGCATGTGGTGTACGTCAGATCTGTTTACTAACATTTGCAAACTACATACAAACTTTAAAATGCGACAACTTTCTTGTCAAGCATCTATTTTTAATTCCATTTGCACCATTACATTCCTTATGACGAGATCTACAAAAGTAGATCCATTTGGATATGTTTTGAAATAATTTTTATAATGATAAAGTTTTACGCCTAGTAGTATAAAGTTTTAAATGTTATAGGACAAAGTTCCAAAACTTAGTGTAAAGTTTTGAATTATAAATTTTCATTTTAGGTGTATAAACTTCATAGCATATCGGTACAAAGTTTGAAGTGAGCTAGTTGTAGGGTCGAGATGGCGGACTAGAGGGGATGAATAGTCCTTTCTAAATTTAATTGCACCGGCTAACCGAAATAAATACAGAATTTAAAATTATCAGTCTAGCCAAGGCTACACCCTTCTATCGAAGTTCTAAAGCACTTTACAAAGATCTTAAATAGGAAACAAAGGTACCGGGCTAGATAGAGCTCACATAACAATTCTAGCTTGTAAGGTCACACAAACCTATGCAACTAGTACTTCACACAACCGATGGAACTCCTACACAATCTAGTAAGCAAAAGCACAAAGCCACCTAAGCTCACTAGCAATGTTCAATAACAAGGCTACACAAGCCAAATTAGAGAGCGCAAATTACTTAGCTACATAAATTAAGCAATATGACTAACAAGGTTACTCAAACCGAATTAGTCACGTAAGGAAGCTACTTCTATGCTACACAAATAAGAAGGTAACTAGCGAGCTACACAAGTTAACTAATTACAAGAGCAACTACGCAAGCACAATGTATGAAATGTAAGTACAAGCTTGTGTTGCGTGGAATACAAACCACCGAGAAGATGTTGAAGACAATGTTGATACGGTGATTTTCTCCCGAGGTTCACTTGGTTGCCACCAAGCTACGTCCTCGTTGTGCCGATCGTTTACTTGGTGGTTCGGCGGCTAATTGGCATCACCCGCCAAGCCCGCACGTCGGACACCGCAAGAACCTACCCTGAAAGTGAGGGTAGCTCAATGACACACTCAACTGGAGTTGCTCTTCACGATCCCCGTGGGGTGAGCACAATCCCCTTCACAAATCCTCCTCCGGAGCACCGTACAATCTTCTCGCGTGCTTTAACAGAATCACAAGCCACCAAACCGTCTAGGAGGTGGCAACCTCCAAAAGTAACAAGCACCACCGGCTTGCAACTCGATCATTTAGTGCCACACGATGCAACCTCACGATGCAATCACACTAGAATCGCTCACTCACTCGATCGAATGATCACTATCAATCTCAAGTGAGTTAGAGGGCTCCGAAGCACTCCCCAAGCATGGACACTCAGTCCCAAGGGTGCTCTACCACCAAATGCCTGAACTCTACCTCTATTTATAGCTCCAAGCCAAATAGAGCCGTTGGAGCAAAGATCATTTTTCTGCGAGGGCACCGGACACAGCGGTGGTGGCACTGCCCTAGGGGTGGCCATGCGCCCAACGGTCACCCCAATGGCTAGTTTGACTAGCGCAGGGGCACCAGACACAGTGACGGTGGCACCGCCCTAGGGGGTGGTGACCACCCAGTCAGCCACCGGAATCGCCCCCTCTCTAGATTTTTATGGCGGTGCACTGCCATCACCATGGCGATGACCAGCCCTACTCCCTCTCTCTTGGCTGAAAAGTGACGGTGCTCACGGTGGTGGCACCGGACAAACCCTGGCGGTGCCCCAGTCATCTGCGCGCTCTCGACCACTGCCAAACGGTCATCGAACACACGAGGGCGGTGCCACCGCCAAGGCAGGGGCGGTGCCATCACAACACCTCTTTCTCGCCTTGTCCAGCCAGGCACCATCACTAGGGTGGCGGTGTACCGGACAGCTAGGGGCGGTGCCCCCAGGGCAACAGCCTAAGCCCAGTTTTGTCTCCTTTCTTCACCTTTCGACTTCTCCTTTGCAAATATGCCAACACTACCAAGCGAACAACACCTTGTGCACGTGTGTTAGCTTTTCACAAATATTTTTCCAAAGAATTAGTACTCTTTTCACCACGTCACTCGATTCTAACACGTATGCAAGGTTAGATCGTTCAAGTGGCACTAGATGACAGATATGCAAACAAGTTTGCTTATCTTAATAGTACGACCATCTATCCTGAACCTGATCATGCACTTCTCTACGCAACTTTTGACCGGTGAAATAAAATATCCTACAAATATACATTTGCCTTGCGCATTCCATTCCATCTCCTTCGATGTCGATGCAACACATGCACCAACCAAACACCAAATGATATGATCCAGTTCATATCATCACGTGACCGTACTGGTTCATCGATCTTGACTTCACTTGCTCTTTACCGTTGCCTCGGTCCATCGACGCCAAGTCATCACTCAACTTGTCCTTCACTCTTGTAACCGGTTCGTCGAGTCAAGTCTTGTCGTGATCTTCTCCATCTTGATCACATGACTCTATATCATGTCTCATATGCAATGAGCTCCTTCATCACATGTGTGAGCTTTGTGCCAAGTTCAAGCCATCTAACCTTCATGGCATGTATTGCTCACACACATATACTTGTGGACTAATCACCTGTGTATCTCACTTAAACACATTAGTCCACCTAAGATTGTTACTCAATTACCAAAACAAAAAAGGACCTTTCACTAGTATAAAGTTACTGAATTTAGGTGTACAATTTTGAAATCCTAAAGTTTTGAACCTAGCAGTACACAGTTTTAAAGTGTGTTAATATAAAGTTCCTAAACTTTAAAAACAAAATTTGAAATTACAAAGTTTTAAATTTGAAAGGAAAAAGTTTTAAATGCGCTAGTTCCTGAATTTAAAATATAAAGTTTAAAATTACAAAGTTTTAAAGCTTTAAATATAAAGTTTTAAATATGCTAGCATAAAGTTTCTGACTTTTAAAAATAAACTTTAACATTACAAAGTTTTAAATTCTAAAGTAGAAAGTTTAAAATGTGCTAGTATAAAGTTACTAAATTTAAAATGTAAAGCTTGAAATTATGAAGTTTTAAAGCTTGAAATACAAAGTTTTAAATGTGCCAGTATAAAGTTCCTTAATTTTAAAAATAATTTGAAATTACAAAGTTTTAAATGTTGAAGTATACAGTTTAAAATGTGCTAGTATAAAGTTTCTGAATTTAAAATGAAAGTTTAAAATTTTATAAAGTTTTTAAAGCTTGAAATACAAAGTTTTAAATGTGCTATTATAAAGTTCCTGATTTTTAAAATTACAAAGTTTTAAATTTTAAAGTAAAAAGTTTAAAATGTGCAAGTATAAAGTTCATAAAGTTAAGGTGTAAAGTTTGAAATTACCAGTTTCAAACTTTGAAATACAAAGTTTTAAATATGCAAGTATAAAGTTCCTGAATTTTAAAAATAAAATTTGAAATTACAAAGTTTTAAATCTTAAAGTAGAAAGTTTAAAATGTGCTAGTATAAAGTTCCTAACTTTAAAATGTAAAGTTTGAAATTTTGAAACTTTAAAGCTTGAAATACAAAGTTTTAAATATGCTTGTATAAAGTTCCTGAATTTAAAATGTAAAGTGAGAAATTACAATTTTTAAAATCTTGAAATAAAAGGTTTTAAATATGCTAGTATAAAGTTTATGAATTTGAAAATAAAGTTTGAAATTACAAAGTTTTATATCTTAAGTACAAAGTGTGTTAGTATAAAGTTCCTGAGTTTTGTTCATTTTTATACCTTATTTATCGATGTTTTGTTATCTTTTACCGGTGAAGGTCATTTTGATAGTATTAAGGTGATGCACTAGTTGATCAGGAAGAGAAAAAAAGCTCATAGAAGGGAGAAAAAAATAATATCAACTGTATATACTGGTTTTGCATCCATATGGATGTGAAACCATCCCCGCCTATTTCATCTCCCACATATCCGTTATCTCGAAAGAGAGAAAAAAAGCTCGTAGAATTGAAATACTGGACCGTACGTGCTGAGTCTAGACAGGAGAAACAAGGAATGGGAAAATGGGCCAATTACGCTATATGGACTTTTTAGCCAAAAACTAGACATGAGAATGAGAATTGAGAAGAAATCTGCTTCCTGGGTCACATGTCCCACTTGCGCCAACTTGCCTGCCGCGCGCCGAGACATGCGTGCGCTGCTCAGGTCCCCCGCGCGCGTCGGGTGGGCGCGCGTTGCTATCCACTAGCGGCGCACGCGCGCTCAGCAGCAAGCCCGTGCTCTAGTACGTGAGAATTGCACTCGTTGCTGGATGTGCTATGCAGTAGGATACTCCCTCCATTCTAAAATATAAATTATTCCAAACTTTTTGAAGAATTAAAGTATCTTAAGTTTAACCAAAACTTTAAAGAAAATTATAAAAATTTATAGCATCAAATAGCTATATGTAAAAATATAATTAATAATAAATCTAATGGTAACTATTTAATATTATAAATGTTATTATTTTATTATAGAAATTTAGTTAAATTGAAGATGTCTTGACTCTACGAACAGAGGGTGTATTTTTTAAACGCTAACCGGATAATAAAAAGTGGTGACCCGCCCGTTACGCTTACACCACACGCACCACGCCGACGCTCGCGCGGCCACGCGGTAGGCGCCGGCAGCGACGGTCGACGATCACCACACAGGCGCACACAGCCACGCGAGCGCCGAGCGGCGAAACTGTGGGAGCCTATCAGAAGCTACAGCAATGTAATGATGTCCGCCGTCGCATCGTCTTTCCCCTCGCGCGGCCACGCGGCGCCGTTCGGCGGCTCGAGGGCACTACCACCGCCGTCTACGCGGCGCAGCACGTCCCTCCGCCGTCCGCGCGTCTCGGCGCTCGGTGGGGGCCTCGAGGGAGAGGCGGGGAAGATACTGGATCCGCGCGCCACGCCGTTCCAGATCCTCGGCCTCGACGCCACCACTGCCTTCTACTCCGCCGCTCAACTCAAGGCCGCCTTTCGCGCCCGGGTAGTGTAACGCTCACTTGTTTATGGGGAGATTTGTGCTGCTGCACAATTTTAGCTCTTGAGGCATCCTAGAAATTACAATAGTCGATTGCTACTTGCTAGTGTATCTAAAGAACTTGGCGTACCTCCATGATCTCCTATAATCGTGGTGTTTGGAACCACCATTTTTGAGTGTTGGTTATTTTGTGATTAGGGGAAGAAGGCACCGAGTGCCACGGTATAGAAGGAACTCACAGATTCTCCAACTTACTTGCATTATGACCTCTTCTCCTTATTATATATATTTTTGTTTAGAAGAAACATTTCCATAAGAATAAGTAACATTTTGTTGTGTTATAAACTGTGCGGTGTAAGGTGAGCGTTTGCTGAGCCAAAGCTGCGTTCTATTTTGTGGTCTAACAATACTGCCACGACATAACATTGGGATCTCTGTACAGGTGAAGGAATTCCATCCTGATGTTTGCAAGGACCCAGAAAACGCAGATTTAATAATGAGGCGAGTGATCGAGGCCTATCAGGTAACTCTGTGTACTATATTTGTGTTTTGTACAAGTGCTTATGGATGCTATCATAAAAACCACGATCAAACATCATCAGACAATTACAATTCACAGTGCAAGTGTGGCTTTAAAGGATTCAGAATTGTGAAGGAACTTTTGAGATAAAGCCACAAACAAGATTACGCACAATCTAAAGTTCGATAGAAATATGATAAAAAAAAGGTTCGATAGAAATATCTGTGGCTATGTTTAGAAATCTGACTCCATGTAGTGTAACCTAAATGGTTGGTTGATTTTTACTGGAGGGAGTGTTTCCTTTTTTTTTCACCTTCTAGTTACATATCATTTTTAGTCACACTGTTTTGTTTCGCACACAGATGTTATCTGGCAACCAAGAAATGATGGTTGAAAGGTAGAGAATACATCCATCTGTTTGTATTCTAGACATATCATGCGATAAACCTTCTATATACACTTGTTTTTGTAGCTAACTATAATAATAATGGGCCTCTGCTCCTTATGCATTTTCAGTGATAGATTAGGTTGTAATTGCCAGTTATCATGGCAATCTTGAATATGTTTTGATCATAGTAATTGAAGAGCTGTAATTATTCCTGGTAAATTTTATAATAACTACCAGTACACTCAAATTCTGAAACATTTGTGGTTCAAAACATAGTTGGTCAGATAGTAGGATAATTCTGCACTAGCAATGGGGTCGCCTGAGGAGAATATATGAGAAAAAGAATAAGAACTACTTGATTCATAGGTATTGCAGATAGTATGCAGTGAAAGGTCCATTATGTAATCATGATTTGCACCATATAACCTAGTACGCATCATGTTAAGTACATTTGTTGCTTGTGCTGAAAATATATTTTGGTTTGATCCACTCAACAAACTGGCAGTTATATTTTTAAGGGGAAAATCTGGAATTAATCAGTGGGCTTAGTTACCAACTCATCTCTCAATCCATATTCCAAAATCCAAACCTGCTGAGGATTTTATGTTCTTTATCCACTTTTCAATTTCATTGTGACACTGTAATTTCTGCATTTGTGAATGCTTTTTTTAGGCATCGAAAAATAAGACAGTTGGGATCTTTGTTTCAGTAGCCTCAAGAAAATCCTACTCATGTGCTTATGTTTACAATATTGTGCAGGAATAATGTTGACACATTTGATGAACCTGAGTGTGAAGCCCGTGACATATTTGTCAATGAACTTCTATGCATTGGCACTGGTACTTGTGTTTGTATTGCTTCAGTGTTAAGGATGAGGGTTTTGTGAATCGGCCTTGTTGTGGACCATAGTATTGTTATAAGAATAAGGTTTGCTGCCAACTTCGAATTAGGTGTTAGTGTCAGAATTGGCACCAGAAAACTAAAGTTTCACATAAGTTTATCACTTTTCTAATCTCCCTAACTATAAGAGATTAATCACCATGTTGTGCTAATTTAATTCCTGGCACACAATGTACCTATTTTTATTGAACAATGCTGTAGTCCTTATTTAGAAGCAGAACACATTACACATAGGATTGTGTTCCTTCCGTTGATGCAACCGAGTTTGTTCACTTTCCTAGTTTTTACAGATTTTATAGCCTATACATTGGGGACATAGGCCTTTCGTGTAGTTGTTCAATACAAATCGTGTGGACATATTTTGTCAACTTTATCTGACAAATTACAATTGTTGATGTCTACTGCAGGATGCCCATATTCTTGTGTTAAAAGGGCACCTCATGTGTTTTCATTTTCAGATGATATTGGTACAGCTCGTGCAATATCTCAAGGTAGGTCCACCACAACCACTTGGGTTAATTGGCCCACATAGTAGTTCCATTAAGCAGTTTATAAGTATGACCACACCTTTACCTTTTCTAAGAAAAAGTTCAACCCTTTTATTTGCAGGTAATGGAGAAGATGACCTTGTTCAGCTCGCTGTTGGGCAGTGTCCAAGAAAGTGCATATACTATGTGACGCCTTGCCAACGCACTATTTTGGAGGATGTTCTTGCTAGGTACATATCCTCTGTCATGAGCTACTTTTTTGTCAGTTAGCATGATGGTAAAGAGCTGATTTATGGTAAGGAACCACCTCATTCTAGATGAGGTGGTGCATCATGTTGTGAGGAATAAGGTGGTGATGGATCAACTCATTTCATTCCGTAAACCAAACAAAAAAGTAAGGAGTGAGGAGATGATGGATACTTCATTCCTCAAACTAAACACCCTATTAACCGATCATACAATTCATGATTCAGCTTTCAAAAAAAACCATGCTACACTAAATTAGAACCAGTGAAAGAGGTCACATTCAAAACTTTTTACACTTTATTTAATATCTTCCTCATGGTGGCATAAGATAATTCATATTAGAGCTGTCCATTAGTTTAGGAACTTGTTAATTGAACAGGATGAGTAGACAGGATTTATAATCGAAACTGAGGTTGAGGGAGTTCAGGACCTATATCCTGATTGAGTACAAGCAATAAGTAAAAAAGTATAAGAGCTATACATGATACAATCATATTACTCCCTGTTCCAAATTATATTATTATAGTGTCGTAAGTCAAACTTCTCTAAGTTTGATCAATTTTTTAGAAAACTATATTAATATGTACACCTTCAAATAAATTCACTATTAAGACATTTCATGGAGAACTTAATAAAACTAATTTGATCTTGTAGATGTTGATGTATTTTCTATAAACTTAGTCAAAATTAGAGAAGTTTGATTTAGCACAAAGCTAAAATGATCTATCATTTCAAACGGAGGCAGTAGTAGGAAGAAAATAGGGACTGTATTATCCACATATTACTGCTTCCTGGTTTAGCGTCAGATATCCTGATCTTTTCTCTCTCTCTCTATATATATATATCCCTCACCTATGTGGATATTATGCCCAGTGTGTTGATGGCGCCTTACGATCTCGCTGAAGCAGCAGTTCTGGATTCCCTCCTTTCGAAAGCAAAGTTTGAGAATAACAGGTACAGGAAGCCCAAAAGAGGAGCAAAATCATCCTCCGATTATGTTGATTGGATGTGATCTGATCCTGAGGCACAAAGGGGATGCCAGTTTCAGCCAAGGCAGTTCAGTAGATTTTTGCTGGTTTTTCTGTTCTCCTTGGTCAGTTGCCCCCGGCCGGTGGAATGGCATGACGCATAGATGTAATTGTAGTTTACAAAATGTAATATGTTTATGCGGACAAACTGCTTTGTTTGTGGCACTGCTGGTAATTTTCTTTTCATTTTCTGACAGAGAAGCCGGATCAAGTCAACGCTATAAACCTCTGGGTATAAATATACGGTCTGGATTCTGGATTCCCATAATATTTCTTTCTGCCAGAAGTTTACTCCACCTTTCCTTGGCATAAGAAACTCCTATGATCGACTGGGAGCTACAGTCAATGTATCGCTATTCCGTATAAAATGGAAATTAGTATGTAGGAGTACTACTAGTTCTTATCCCAAGTTCTTAGATCATGTTCGGATCCATATGATTAGCTATCAGATGTGTTAGCCGAAAAAACTAGCTAATAGATGTGTTAGCTAGAGGAAAAAAAACTCTCCATTCCAAATTATACATGACTTGGTTTTTTAATTCATAGCTTTTGCTGCGCAGACACAGTATATATCTAGACGCATAATAAAAGTATATACATAAAAAGCCTGGATGACCTATAATTTGGAATTGAGGGAGTAATTGTTAGCTTGGTATATTGTCCATAGGTTCTTTGTCCTGGTTTAAAGCAAGTACAATAATTGGCTTATAGCCAAGCAAATGCTGGTATGGAGGAGAAAAGAGAGGAAAGAGAGAGGAGAGTTTGCTCTTATTCAAGCAATAAGCTTGACATAGAAGCTTATGCAGTGGTAGACCCATACTTAAGTGAATGTGAGGAGGATTTGGAAAGAGAAGGTGGGACATGGCTAAAAGTAACAATTAAAAAGTTTTTTATAGACAATTAAGAGACCACTATTATATAACTTGGCTCTTACAACTTGGCTAATAGTCAAACACGGGGAGGGAGGGAGGAGCTCGTCGGGGAAGAGGCGATGGGTCGTGCGCTCCGCCAATCGCGCGACCCGTCGCATAGTAGAGATTTTGGAACTATACGCTGCAGAGGTTGATGATACCTATCGGGTTACAACCCCGAGGGTCTCAAGGCACCGATTAGTTAGCAGGCCGTGCGACGCGCAACGCAGCAGCTAGAGCAAAGGCCCGAACGACCGAGGCCCAGCAAAAGCCGAGTAGAGTAGGCCAAGCGCCAAGGCCATGGGTGATCACCACCCCTTCTCCCAGCAATAGCCGCGTGATGCTCAAGTGCGCGACATCTCCCCCGTCACGACCCCTGGGAGGGACAGAGAGAGGCCAAGCCCTGCTTCTTGACGTACCGGCCCTGACGAAGGCAAGAACACCACACCGACCCCCAAGGACTGATGTGACAACAGTCCCCACGGACCGGTCGGGCACGTCCTAGCGCCACGTCGCACGGTGGTGACCACGAGTACAATGCCCACCATCCAAATATGGACCGACAGGACGCGTGTACGATCCCACCCACTACGGGATGGGATCCATGATAAGGGTCTCGACCTGGAGACCTCCCTGGCTGGCGAAGAGCCCCGACCCCAACGATCGGGGTCGTGGCCCTCAGCCCCACGAACAAACTAGGCGAACAATGCCCCGGGGCGGCTACCTACTATGGGTACGACGTCTCGGGGAACCTGAAGATGATGACGAAGACGATGACAGATGCCGCGTTGAACAGGATAGCTAACGAATCATCACCGTGGCTACAGTGCTGCCACGACCAGCACAATAGCACCACGTCAGACCCTGCCATGACATGGTCACAAGACCATGACGATAGCCATGCCTGGGCGAGCATCAGAAGACGGCGTCGCTTGTAAGCCAAGTTAGCCAGGACCTCCCGCAGGCTCTTGACCCTTCGGTCGGGGGAACGTTCTCTTTGTAACGAGCCCTGGCCCCGAACTCAATATAAGGGTAGCTAGGGCTCCCATCGACATATTCTTCATCCTGTACCATTCCATCCATAGCAGTAGGGCTTCTAGAGCTTCTCTTCGGGCTGCCCCTCGTCTATCATAGGTTTTACCACCTCTTTCACTATTCTGGCACCCTCCATTGTAAGAACTTCAGAGCATTCAAGCAAGGAACACACACTCGATCTTCTCTGAGACTGTATGTAGGGCTTCGGCCTGAACCAGTATAAATTCTCATGTCTATTGGATGCTACTATCGTCTTCCTAGAGCAGCACGACAATCGTATAAGTTTACTAGTCTAGTTTATGAAACACCGATAGTTGGCGCGCTGTAGGACACGTGGACGCCTAAGAGGAGGGGGGGGGGTGAATTAGGCAACTTAAAAAACTAACTCTAAACTATGGCCTCTTTTTCTACCTCTAGCAAAACCTATGCAAAAGATAATCTATCTAGATGTACAACTACGGTTTTGCTAGTGTGTTGCTATCTCTACCGCAAATGATAATAATAAGATCAATGTAAATGCGGAAGCTTAAAGAGCAAGGTAGAGATATGCAAACTCCCGTCGACGACTCCGGTATTTTTACCGAGGTATCGAGAAGCGCGCAAGCTTCCCCCTAGTCCTCGTTGGAGCCCCTCGCAAGGAATCCCTCGCAAGGGCCAAGCTCCCGGTCGGGTAACTCCGTGGATAGCCTCGGGCCTTCCCCACGCACAAGTGGGTCTCCGATGTGCCTTCCGCAAGCCTCTCCCGATGCTCCCCGCCGTCTTCACTATCAAGCTTTCGGCCAAACGCCATGGGCCTTGTTCCCTTCGATTTTACGGTGGCGGCCGCACCACAAACGCGGTTGGTGCGATCTCGCAAGACTTCAAGCCCCTCCGATGTACAACTCTTGTGCTCGCAAGCACGGGGTGGTAAGAGGGATGCAAACCTCACTAAACACTAGGCATATACCTAGAGCAAGCGCATAAGCAGTGGTCTAATCAACCTAAGCACTTCGTAAAGCACCTACGCTAATCACCTGATGAAACACTAAGCACTTAGCAAGTGGAGATCACTAAAATGGTGTATCAACACCCTTGGTATGTTTCCTCGGCTCCACACTACTCAAATGGCGGTTGGGGTTGTATTTATAAGCCCCACCGAGAAAGTAGCCGTTGAAAGTCGAACTCCCGCAAATCTGCCATCGACCGGACGCTTTGAATCGTCTGACCGGACACGTCCGGTCGTCCCGATTGTTAGAAGCCGCTGAACTACCGATCGACGCCCGCGTCCGTCGGTCTCGGTCGCGTTCGGTCGGTCAGATTTTCGCAGCGCTGAACCTCTCAGACTTTCGATCGGACGCTGCGTTCTGCGTCCGGTCGGTTCTTGCCGCCAGCCGTCCGGTCCTTAAGGTCCGGTCGCTTGCGAAAGCCACCGGTCCAGCCACGGTCGCTGCTCCAGCGTCGGTCCGTCGTCCGGTCCGCCACCTCCATGAGCTCGTTTCTTCGCGATCTTGTGCACGGCTTGGTTCCTATCTTCATGCTTGGACTTTGCTTGACATCTTAGGTCTTTTCTTGTGCTTCTAAGATCTTGCTTGAGGTGTTGATCATCAGACCATCATGTCGCCTTCGTCCAAGTCACGTCTTGCACCCTATTGGACTATAAAACAAACACTTGCAAATTCATTAGTCCAATTTGGTTGTGTTGGTCATCAAACACCAAAATCCAAAGTAAATGGGCCAAGGGTCCATTTTCCTTACACGCGCCAGGTAGGGGACAGTCGCGCACTCTTGTTTGATTGAGGAAGGAAGCGATGGCTCCTCGCACCACCGATGGACTCACTGGTGGAATGGCCCGTGGCGGTCACATCTACAGTGAAAACTATAGGTTCATCGGCACCAAAGGACCAGTGCCCACGTCCGCCTTTAGCCGCAGTCCAGACCTCCACCTTAGAAATCTGGATCCCACGGATCACATTAGACACACTCCTGGAACTGCCTTCGGGGGCTGCATCCTAGAGTTTACCTACCCAAAGGGGCCAATACCCTCGCTCATCGCAAGCTGTGGCCAAGTTTCCCATCCGAGAAACCAAAGGACCACAGCTCATGGCGAACTTGCCCGAGGAATGGCCTCGACCGGCCACATCCTTCTTGGGAACCACGCGGTTAACCACACCAAAGGGCCGACGCCTGAGTCCACCCTGGGCCACGGCCCAGACCTCCACCTCGGGAATCTAGATCCCGCGGCCTATGGCGGGTGCACTCTCAGAACTACCCACAAGGGCTGCATCCTAGAGTTTATCTACGAAGGGGGCCTAGGGCCCTCTCTCATCACTGGCCACGGCCAGGCCTTCCACCCAAAAAGCCAGATGGCCACGACTCATGGCGACCTCGCTCAGGGAATGGCCCACTACAGCCACATCCCCGCAAGGAACCACGAGATCACTCGAACCGACGGGGCAACGTCCGTCACTAGCTCTTACCCGGTCCAGGCCTGCCACGTGGCAAAACTGGACCTAACAGTAGAAACGTGCCTCGGACAGTGTCCTCGACAGTGGAGCACAATGACCCAGGGCACGCACGAACGACGAAACTACCCATCGCCATGTGGCATCGTCATCAGAAATCAAGTCGCCAACCGGCATCACACCATGCAGGGTCAAGCCCAGAACTAGGATCCGGTCCTACGTGGCGAACCCGTTACACGACGCGCTTCAAGGACTGCCAACCTTCGCTCGTAGGCACGTGCATCCAAGGAAGCGGCCCCCCCGAGCGCACCACACGCTGCGACGAGTGGATTGAACCACATCACGCTCAAAGTCAGCTTCCACAATGATAGGTCGCGATGGTCCCTCGCCAGAGGCGGCAGCTTTACTCGAAAGCGGAGACGCTATGACAACGACGCCTCGCGCCAAGAGGACTCAAGCACCAAAATGCGCGAGCTCTCTGGGCCAAGAGCCCCTGCATGTTGGGAGCCAAGAATCCACCCTCGGGGGCACATAGGCTCCTCAAGGGCATCGAGTCAGCAAGGATCGGCCCAAGGCAGTCCGAGAGGCCGATCCACG